GATCATAAATCATAAGTGTCAAAAATGGAAAATCCAACTCACTTTAATTATTTCAAATATTGCACTTCAGCTGCTACAAAACACATCAACTAGGTTGTGATAAGTCTTACTTTGTCGTTGAAGCTTTGAAATAATTACTCGTATTGATGGTACCTACTATCTACCTAGTTAGTACATTATTTTGTTTTTATCACTGCAATGATAAATACAGGATAATATAAGTTAGTATACAAATTATTTTGGTTGAATCATTTTTGATAATGGTATATATTTGAATTGTAAATACTCGTGGAGCGTAATCGATTATGATTGTACAGTATCACTGATGTCTATAAAGTGAGTACTTCAATAAAAATGTATTGTAGGTGATATATTGTTTGTTCAATCGACTAAAAAGTTCAACTTTTGCACTAAAATCAGCTCTTGAAATTGAAGTTTATCTTACTGACACAATAAATTGATTGATATATATGTATGTTGCTGGGCAACACTTTTGGTAGCATGACATTAAAATTCAAACTTTTCCTGAAAGAGCTAACAACCCAGATAACACAATGATGTCCAATAAACATCCAATAGATCTCCATATATGTCTGGACACCATGGACATCCATTGGCTGTACACCACATTTCAATGTGTATTTGAATTTTGGTCCAATTATTGTCCAAAACAACATCAGAAGATGTGTATAGTATCATGTTTTCATGATATAGGAATATTATCTCGTTACACAACAAGAACTGAGGGATTCCAAATATTTGTAATCTATTTTCCTGAAGACACATTGTAAAATTTAGGAGGGAAAATCTCGGAAATAACGGTGCCAATTCAAACTCGTAAAAATTTAATTCAATATAAAAAATGTAAAAACTTCACAAACGATATAAAAAATATTCAATGGAAGGTACACTTCATCTTCTTAATCGCTAAAATTATAGCCCTCTTCACTATAATTTGCCAAATTGATAATGAATCGATTCTGACCGTTCAGATTGGTAGCACCCATATTATTCATATTCTTCAAATTCAAAAATTTCATTCACTCTTTTATTCCAAACGGCAGCACTGATATTTTCCACTTCTAGTGGTTATTTGAAGATATAACTTCAGGATCGAAATTCGGGAATATATTTTTCCTACGGACTCTTCATCAATCATCTCCAAATTAATTGTATACTGGGTGTCAACGAATCTATTAGACAGGTCATAACTTCAAGACCATTAGGTGTATCAAAATGAGATATGGTATAGGTGAATGGTATGTGAAAAGGAGAGTTTTCAAATATTTTTCACTTCCGGTTTCACCGGAAATGGCTCCGGTTATTCTAGATTTTTAAATGGAACACCCTGTATATTGTAACATTTTCGACTTTCTGAGACAATTCTAGATAGGAATGTGACATTTTCGAAAGTTTTTATGCCTACTTAATTTTTTCGGAGTCACTTTTGAAATTACATCTAGGTGGCCATGATCGGAAGTAAACTAATAATCTAAGGACCTTAGGTGATATCGGAAAATTACAATCGCGAAGTTTTAGTGACAATTATGATATAGATATGAATAAGACAAGTTGGCAAAATTACATTTTTGTGTATAAGTATTATTTTTCAAATGGCGACAATTTTTTGACAAGCACTTTCCGAAAAAAGGATATTTTGACGAATCTAACGATACTAATTTATTTGCGATTGGATCAACAGATTTAACAAAATTGACAATAACTTTAGCGATGCACTGTTCAATTCCCTAATTTCTTAAAATTTTCACTATAGAAATTTTCAAAGTGCATTCCTCCTTGTTCGAGACACATTTCAGCTCGTTCAATTGTTTCTCTCAACGCGTTTCGTAACATTTTTGGCGTTATACTTCTAAATGTCTGTAGAATCCTTTCGCCTAAGATTTCGAGAGTGGCTGGGGCTGTTGCATAGTAGACCCTTTCTTTAACATATCCTCAAATGAAGAAATCTATCACAGTCAGCTCCGGTGATTGGGCAGGCCACCGTACTGGTCTATTGGTTGCAATAACTTGATTATTGAAATGCTCTATTAAGTAATCAAGAACGTATCTGATGGTATTATGAGGAGGTGCTCCATCTTGTTGGAAGTAAATTCGCCTTAAAACTGCTAGAGGTATATTATTATAAGATGATCCTCGATTTCATTTTGAAGGAAACCTAAGTACCTAACCCCTGCTGTTAACTGACCTTGAAATAATCTTGGTCCAATTATTCGATCTGTTTCCAACGATACCAGCCCAGACCTTGACGCCAAAAACCTTTCTTGAAAATTGCCCTCTCTCATTGCATGTTAATTAAGTAGGCATAAAAACTTTGGAAAATGTCACATTCGGATCTAGAATTGTCTCAGAAATCCAAAAATGTTACGATATACAGGGTGTTCCATTTAAAAATTTAGAACTGGATCCATTTCCGGTGAAACCGGAAGTGACCAGAAAGTGAAAACTCTCCTCTTCACATACCATTTACCTATACCAAATCTCATTTTGATACACCTAATGGTCTAGAAGTTATGACTTGTCTAATAGATTCGTTGACACCTGGTATATTTTGATAATCTATGGTAAAAGTATAATGGTCAAGGGCGTCGTCAGAGAGGGGCAGGGTGGGGCAGCTGCCCCCCCCCCTACGTTTAACGCTCACTATAGTCACCCTGCTATCATTGAAACGACTATTTCATTCATCATACATAATCGGACCAATCACAAGCCAGAGAAAACGTGAAACTAGATGTTTTCAACGATGTAACCATGGGTAGCGAAGCGAAGTCTGTCAATTTGGCAAAAAATAATGACTGTAATTGTCAGAATGAATCATTCATTCAAAATAAATGCTTCTTTGCTTCGAGAACGTGAAATAGTCTCCACTCTGTTCTGAATATATTCTCATAATTCTTCATTTCCTTGTCAAATCTATTGTGTTGCCGTACAGCCCTATACCTTTCGTCCTGACTCGTGGTGTTGCTCAGCAACACAATTTCGTGAACAATGAGGCGACAGAATTATCTCGAATATTAAGAATATCGTGATATTACTTATGATAACGCTCACTTTGAGCAAAGAACTTCCGAAAGTATATTTTTCTCCTGAAGTTGAGAAGGCTCTGAAGATCCTTGTTGCCTTTACCTTGTAAGATTTGTACAGTTGAAAGGTCATTTAGTAGCCTTAGGAGAATCAAAGCCTGGTTGAGGAGCACCCCATGTATGATGCTCGACTCAATGGCCTCGCAATGATGAGTATATACACAGGCAACATATTTTCAAAAAATTGAACGATTTCGTCAAAAAGTCACCAACGAATTCCCAAAGAACCCTAGAAGATTATTTTTCAACTGATTCACTGTATAGATTTTTTTCTGTTTTTTGATTTTCTCATTAAACTCTTTATTCTATTTGATTTTTCTCTTCAGTTTTTTTATGGTGCCCCCCTATTTTTTTCCGCTGGCGACGCCCTTGATGATGGTATAGTATTAAAAATACAAAAATATGGGGGCAAATCTGAGAACCGTAGGCTACTTTTGTTCGGCAATTTCGTCTATGACATATACTTTCTTGAACCTCAAGTAATTGGGCTTTGGTGTATTTTTCTTCACAGTATAAATCATGGGTAGTTATAACATCTTGGATCTCTTCCTTACGATTAGCAAAATATCAAATATTCACCACAGTTCACGAGTAGCTTCGTCAAAAAGTTAGTAATTCACATTTTCTGTCGTGGATTCAAGAGATAAGTGGACGAAGCAAAAAATTCAACGAGTTGTGACAAAATAATACTGGAAACATGTGGTGTGAAAACTGGGTACTCACCTAGTTGATTGATAGAACACAGTTATCAGTATTGATTAGAACTGCTTATGAGTCGAGATATACAGGTTGTTTCCGAAATTGAAGCAATGAATGATGTGGGTAGAAGAAGATATGACGCTTTGATTTTTACGCTGAAAAATTAGGTACGTTTTGAGACTGGTATTTGATATATAGATTTGATCAAATCCCTTTATATGCGAGTGAAAATTAAAAATGTTCATATAGGGTACAGGGTGATATATATATAGGTAGTAAAGGTGAAAGTAGAATCGTTAAAATACGATTAAACGTCTTTATTCATAGAAAAAATGTAAAAACAACGAATGAAAAAGGAAACTGAACTTCACATTTGATAACAAAACAGAAAAAAAAATGTATCTGAAAATATAGGTTTGTAGGTAAAGGAAAGGCGCCAAATGAACTTTGAGTTCATGGAGGTCTTGATAATGCTGAAATCAAATAGTAATCCCCTATCAAAGATGATGTGAATAAAAAGGCATAACAATCACAAATAATCAATTAAATGATGAACGATAATAGAGGCCGTGACAAGGATTTCACAAAAACAATAGCCCTCCTCACCAGCTGCCACGAACAAACCATTAACATACACATTCTGAATAAAAAATACTAAGTGTAGGTAGGTACTTACTGGAGCTATAGTTACTTATGAGAGACAGATGAGTTCCTTCTGAATTATTATAAATTCAAATACTAATGTTCAGCTGTTTTCAGATCCTGAGCCATCAGTATAGATACAATCAACCCAAGGTATTATATAAATGATATAGTGTTATGTCAGTTAAGAGTCTGAATAAATGTATCAAAGCATAGACTGTCTCTCCGCATTACCAAAAATAGTTATCATGCATAGAATTAAAACTGAAAACTAGAGAAAAGGTAATTTTCACGTTACAAAGTATATAGTTATCATGCACAGGGTTTACAAAGCAGAGGAGACTATTTGGTTCTCAATTTTAGCGAAAAATATGACTCAAATAATAATATTTTTGTGAGTTTACCTGAAATTTCTAACCGAGTGCGAAACGCATGCATATACGACTGGTAGGTTATCTGTCAATGTATGAATAGTTTTGATCTGAAATTATTCACAAATTTGCGCATATGTTTGGGTTAAATCTCAATATTTTAGACGAAGAGTTAAAGAAACGACGACCATACAATAAGATGAATATATTTTCAGAATATTACAGCAATGAAAATATATTTTATAGATTCAATATAGATTTAATTGTACATACGGCAGCCGCTCTGGCAAAATACAAACATTATCACGGTTAATTTTTGAATATCGAATCTACATTAGGCACTTTTGCAAAATGAAAATCTACTATATCTTCAGACACTTGCGGTAATGTAGGGGGATCCCACTTTGGTTTCTTATCTTTGTCTACCAAAAATGCTCTGACACCTGAAATATAAATAGTAAATAGAGATGGGGTGAATATAGTCAAAACCACCAAGTTAATATTATGAAATATGAATCTGAAGACACATTAAAACAAACTGAAATTCATGGAAATTCAATGAACATGTGGAAAGCAAACATCGACAAATATTTTAAAATCACGAGTAAGATCAAGAATGAGACAGGAAAAGCTTCGTTTCCAAGATACAGGGTGATTCAACAGTAGATAAATTTCATCATATATTTAAGCTCACGAGTCTATAGTTGGAATATTCCCAATTGGTAATGTATATTGAAGAAATAATTCTCTTGGCTTATTTTATACAGAAAGTACCTATACAGGGCCGGCAACATTGTTTAAATAAATGTACATTATAAACAATTGGTATTTTCTCGGTAACAAATGCAAAAGAGTCGCAACATAATGAAAACAAAGATAGATATACCGGGTAACACAGACTCATATGGTGTACCCCCCTTTTCTCCATTGGTTTTTTAGCCATATTTCTGGAATTTGAAACATTGAATATGCTCACTATAGTCTATGTTTATGTTCGGTGCTAGAAGGCACTTTCTCACATTTTAGGATTTTTTTTGTCATTTTCCGGTTTTCCTGGAAATGACATCAACTTTCGATTTTCAAATGGAACACCCTATATTCCATTTCATAATCGGTTAGAGATTATTATAATGAATTCAACAATAACGGGTTTGGTTGGGTTATTTCAAACGATTACGAAGATATTCACATCGAAGTTTCCATAGGCTCAATGGACGTGACAGCGCAATATCGAAACTTCTGTCTCACACACACAAAATTTCCTGAAATGTGAGAAAAAGCCTTGATTCTAATGAGCATTTTCGATGTGTCAAATTTCAGAAATATAGCTAGAAAACCAATGGAGAAAAGGGTTCACCATCCCTAACAACACGGGATCTTGCTGGTATATCCGCTAAGGTCCAACAAATGTCCCAGACTTAGGTATACGATATCCCACTACTTTCCTGGCTATATGCCACGAAGAACATTGAATTATATCTACTGAACACACACGATAAGAATTTGAAAACAAAATCTTCTGAAGTTGACAATTTGTATTCTTCTTCAGATAAAAAAATGTATGCACATAATATCATTCTGAATATTCAACAGGAAACAACTACTTTCCTGACCGGTGTGAAAGCAGCAACGCGACATCATCTAGCAACATGCAGCAACGAATGAGATCAACAGGGGCAGGCCACAGAGAGACGATAACGATAAAACTCTTTCATATAGAATTAGAAACGAATATATCATGAATTTCACGATTCAATCTTCTATAATAAATAGAAAACACGTCACTTAACAAGATCAGATAGTTGTCTTATTCTGTAGCATCCATTCCACCCCTCTCTCACCCTCTTATCAATATAATTAGAATTGAAATTAAGAGCTTTGAAAAGAATTTATGAAAGATTTTTTTTCTTGAAACAGGTGTAAAATAGCTTCCTGAATACGATCAGATAGTTGTCTGATTTTGTAGCATTCATTTCACCCCTCTTCCACCCTCTTATCAATTTAATTCAGATTCCAACTTAGAGCTTTAGAAACAATTTTTGGTAGATCTTTTTCTTGAAACAGCTTTAAAATAGCTTCCTGAATACGATCAGATAGTTGTCTGATTTTGTAGCATCCATTCCACCCCTCTCTCACCCCCTTATCAATATAATTCAAATTCCAACTGAGAGCTATTCAAAGAATTTTTGAAAGATTTTTCTCTTGAAACAGATGTAAAAAAGCTTCCTAAAAACGAACAGATAATTGTCTGATTTTGTAGCATCCATTCCATTCCTCTTTCACCCTCTTATCAATATAATTCAAATTCCAACTTGGAGCTATTCAAAGAATTTTTGAAAGATTTTTCTCTTGAAACAGATGTAAAAAGCGTCCTAAAAACGAACAGATAGTTGTCTGATTTTGTAGCATCCATTCCATTCCTCTTTCACCCTCTTATCAATATAATTCAAATTCCAACATGGAGCTTTAGAAACAATTTTTGGAAGATTTTTTTCTTGAAACACATTGTGAATCCCATCACCAGATCAGAGAGGCAATGTTAATATAATTCTCACCTTCGTAAAAATCTTTTCTGTTGTTCAAGAAATTCAAAACCAGGATGTACTCCATATCCAGGCAATCCTTCAAATTCATACTCTCGCCCATCTTGAGCTGCCTGAGCACCACTTTTAGACTAGTCGGGGACATCCTATTCAAACTCTTGATGGTTTCGTTAGCCCATTCTGATCCATCTTCAGTTAATTTCGCTGTTATCTCTTCCATAGTAGCCGAGGAGAAATAATCGTCGATCTTAACCAAGAAAGGATCCAGAGAAAATGCCGGTACATCTTTCTCGGCAAACTGGTCCAACGTTTTCTGTATATCCTCATGGTTGGAGCATTTCATCAAAGCCTGCTCCAAATCGTTCAGATCGCTACTTCTGCAAAGGTGGGTAGCTATACCAGCACGGAGGACGTCTGATCCCTTCAATCTATGTCCGGTCAGAGCCAAGTAGTATCCCAATTTTCCTCTCAGCCTGGGCAAGAAATGAGAGCCGCCCACATCTGTGGAAAGTTGAATTCCATTGGTAAAACTCAGTGTATATATTTCTCTCTTTGCTTATACAGTGTGTCCATCTAGTGCGTAATTCTTCGATATCTCGGAATCCATTATCACTAGAGAAAAACTTTTGGAAACAAATTTCTTCCGTTATTAAAGGTTCCATTTCAAAAATATTTTCAACAATACTGGGTGTTTTACAAAAGCGGGAGGACTCGGAGACGAGTTTTTTCAAATAGAACACCCAGTATTCTTTATTTAAAATTCATTCCGCTAAGGTTTAGCTCTGAGCTGAATTTGGTTGCGGCGTTACCAAGTTATAATTGATAAACCCACTTTTACTACTATTGAAGGGTCATGTTAAATTGGGTATGGTATATACATTCATTAAAATTTTGAGATGATTTTTGGCATACAGTAGTAGCAAGGTCTCAAGTACACCAATCCAGTAATTTAGCGAGATTATCCTTTACAGGGTGCTAAAATTTACACTCTGAATATTGTAAGATTCAGACGACGTTCACTAGGATTTTTCAAATGGAACACCCTGTATTTTTCATCACAGATTCATTTCGACATCATTCGCCTTTTCATCGCTGAAAAAAAAATTGAAATCGGTTGCGGGGTTTTCAAGTTATGAGTAATTTCCTTATGTTTATCACTATCTCAGGGCAACTTATGAGGCATGGTTCCTTTATTTGATTTGATTGTGGGAATATTGCTTGCCACATGACATTCGAGGTTCTACATAGATCATTCAGGTATCTTTGCGATATAAGCATTGTCAAAATTTGAAATATTCCGTAATCTTGTTACTTATGATTTAAATAATATGTACCTATGTGAAACAAACATGCCAAAAGCAAAACGCCTGCCTTTAAAACAACATCTACAATACAAACAATGGAGATTTGAATTGCGAGAATAAGGACATTTTATTGAAATTTGGACCACTTTTATTGTCGTTATTCCCACAATCCAAATCTCCATCAAACTTGAAGAAGGCAAACTCTACATAATGATACAAACAATATTTCTTTACTACGCGGGTTTCGGGAGGGAATTCAGCAAAATTTTAAATAAATTCAAGATATTATTTGATTGTGGCGATGTTTGACAGGTCATTACACGAATAATGGAAGTGTACTTCGAAAAATTAATTCGTTGTCTGCAAAAAATCTGTGAAAGTAGCATTTTGGATCAATTTGTCAAATCCACTCTGATTTAAATTCAAAGTTGGAGAGCGTGCTAATGTTCCTATTGTAAAGAATTATAGGAATGGTCAATGAAGAAATTTGATTATTTGAATGAAAGAACTGTGACGTAAAAATTATACTCCGAAATAGTAGTAAAAATAAGGAAATTATCCATAACTTGACAACGCCTCAGCCGATTATGATTTTTTTTGTAGCGATGAAAAGGTGAAAGATGTCGGAATAAATTTGTGAAAAAAAATACAGGGTGTTCCATTTGAAAAATTCTAATGAATGCCATCTGAATCTTGCGAAATTCTAAATGCAAAATAGAGCACCCTGTTAAAGAACTTGTCGCAAAATTACTGAATTTGTATACGTATGCCAAAAATATTTTCATAATTTGAATAAATGAATATACCATGCCCAATTCAACATGACTTTTCAATAGTGGTAAAAAATAGATTTATCAATTATAACTTGGCAACGCCGTAACCGATTTCAATTTTTTTTACAGCGATGTGAAGGTAAACCTCGGCGGAATAAATACAATACAATACTGGGGTGTTCCATTTAAAAAAACTCGTCTTCGAGTCATCCCGCTTTTATAAAACACCCATTAATGTTGAAAATATTTTTGAAATAAGCAACTTGAGTAACTGAAGAAGTTTTTCCTCCAACGTTTTTTTCTATAGGTTATGGCTTTGGAGATATCGAAGAATTACGCACTAAATGGACACACTGTACAGTGTCATTCATAAAGTCGGCATCATATGGAAAAAACTTTTAATACTAATTTATTTTCAAATTCGACTTGAGCGTTGAGTTTTGCTCCAAAAAAGATGAAAAATAGCCTACTCGGTCAGTCACGTGACTTTCGCTACATGTCAAAAGTTGAACTTTTTCAAATTTATCGCTGAAATTAGTGTTATTTGTTCGAATTTCAAAAAAGTTTACTATTCAAAGGACCCCGCACGAAAACACGGGAAATTGGCTCTGGCTAAAATTTCAATATGTTGCTGTGGGATGGCTCATTAGGAAAATCTGCGAGTTCAAAAAGTTTTGTATGTTTAGTTTCTGAGATATAAGCCGACAAAGTTCGTAAAAACGTCGTATCAGGGTAGGATTGACAAAGAAAAAAACTGTTTTTTTAGTATAATCGGAACTCAAATACATGTCTAGTTATGATCACATAAATTATAGTAAATTAGGGTGCATACGAGGCACGGTCAAAAAAAATCATTTTTCGAAAAAAAAATTCGAGCACTATTCCAAAACCAATAAGTTATATTTTGGTGGGACATCATAGTTTTAGTCTATTGTAGGCTTCGAAAACGTATTTTGATTCTTGATAACTATCTCAGTTCGAGATATGAATTTTTAGAATTTTGTGTTACACCCCTTTTTGAAAACAATTGACAGCTTGTTTTTGATCACAAAGAAAGGGATTGATTGATACTGTTGATTGAATGAAAGCTGATGTGACTCACTAGCGAATTCAGTTGTTCAATATTGCCTTTCATTTAGATACAGGGTGTGTTAGAATTTTGTTGGAGATTATTTAACATGTTTCAATTGAATATCTCGAAAACTGTTCCGTTAATTTGGATCACATTTTACTGACACTATTTTGAATATGTTGACTATCATATGCGAAAAGTTTTTAAATTTTTTATGTTTCGTTTCTGAGATATCATTTTTACAGTATTTATTATATTACAGGTATTACAGGGTTATTACCTCGGATATTACTATCGATTCAACAGAACTTTACGGAATCTTTCGAACATTCAATTACATTATGAAACTATTAGAAATCAATAATTTGTTACTATAAACAACACTAACCACATTGAAAAACAATATGAAACTCAACAGTATGGATTCCGTAAAGTTCTGTTGAATCGATAGTAATATCCGAGGTAATAACGATATTTCGAGATATTCAATTGAAACATTTTAATCAATCTTCAACAAAATCTAACACATCTTATATCTAAATGAAAAGCAATATTGAATTCGCTAGTGAGTTAGTGAGCTTTCAATAAATCAACAGTATCAATCAATCCCTTTTTTTGTGATCAAAAGCAAGCTGTCCATTGTTTTCCAAACGGGGTATACCACAAAATTCAAAGAATTCATATTTCGAACAGAGATATATAGTTATCAAGAATGAAAATACGTTTTCGAAGCCTACAATAGACTGAAACTATAATGTCTCACTAAAATATAACTTGTTAGTTTTGGAATAGTGCTCGAATTTTTTTTCCGAAAAATGAATTTTTTGAACGTGCCTCGTATACACCCTGATTTACTATGATTTATGTGATCATAACTAGACATGTATTTGAGTTCCGATCAACACATTTTCTAGCTTATTTTGTCTTATTTATACTAAAAAAACAGTTTTTTTCTTTGTCAATCCTACCCGGATACGACGTTTTTACGAACTTTGTCGGCTTATATCTCAGAAACTAAACATACAAAACTCTTCAAACTCACATATTTTTCTAATGAGCCATCCCACAACAATATAGTATAATTTCAGCCAATTCGACCGAGAGCCAATTTCCCGTGTTTTCGTGCGGGGTACTTTGTTTCTGTTCAAATTTTACACATGTGTCTAGAATTTGAACGTTCTATTGCAACTGTTAGCTCTTGATATTTTTTGATTTCTTCTGATAATGGTAACTTCGACAGAACTGTCCTAAACTTTGGTGAGATATTTAAAGTAGCTTGATGATATTTTGATAGGTGACCTTGGCATCATTTGAGTACTGGAAAAATCCATTTGAATAAATTTCGCTCCTGAATGCTAGACGTTTGCATCAAACATAACAGAAATTTGAAGCGGGAATTAGTATTTTCTGAACAAAATCATATTTTTGTCGATAATTACTAATTGAAAGTTGGTAGCATGATAAAGATACTAGATTGAAATAGACATTTCGGAGAAAAGCAAAAAAATATCAATAACTGAAAGTTGTTATGGAACGTTCGAGACACATTTACGTAAAATCGAAACAGAAACACTTTTCATCTGTAAACTTTTTTGAAATTCAAACAAATAGGCCTATTTTCAGCGATTAATTTGAAAAAATTTACCTTTTGACAAGTAGCGAAAGTCACGTGACCCCAACCGAGTAGTTCATTTTTCGTATTTTTCAAAGCAAAACTTGACGAACAAAACGTATTTCAAAATAAATTATTATTATATTCTTGATAGAAAAACTGAATGTAAAAAATCATTTTTCTACAAACGTCAAAAAATGACAAGGTTCGCACATTGATAACAAATTGCGAAGTGACACTTTTTTTCAGTTTCCTACGTTACCATGATTCCTTGCACAAAACAATGCGCGAAGTAAAACAGTGCGCGAAGTACCTACTTCGCGCATTGTTATGTAAAATATATGAGATATCTATATTTCAACTTTATGTTCCTCAATCGAGCAGACATCCACAAAATCATTCATTTATGAATGTTCAACAATAACTTCATTTTTTCTCTTGGAGCGCACGAAAGGAAATTCCTATTATGTTCGTGGAACATCGTGCGTACCTAGGGAGGATAGGGGGAGACCTTTTAAGCCAGTTCAACACTATTTTTTAAATCGAGCTAAGCATATTTTCACTTTTGAACTATATTTTTTGACGTTTGTAGAAAAAATGTTGTTTGCAACTCGAGCGCGAAATACTTTGGTCATCTCGACTATTTTTTTAACTCGGCTACGCCTCGTTAAAGAAATCAGATCTCGATCACCAAAGTAGCATTTCGCGCTCTAGATACAAAAATAACTATTTACAGGTAC